TGTGTGTGTGTGTGTGCGCGCGTGCGCGTGGAATTTTGTTTTCATTAACCTGGGAACAGATATATGTCTCTACTGACTACCTTTCTTTTTCTCGAATTATCACGAACGAGCGCACAAAAATAGCATATAGCAAAAAATTACCATCGGCAAATCCCGTCTTGTTTCTTATGTAACGCTCGTTTTTTTTTCCGAGATAAATAAACGAATCGAAAAGTTTTCACACGACAGGAACTCGTATCGCGCGGCAGATTAATCTTCGAAGATTTTTGAGGAGACAGAAGGGGATTTAAGACTTGGCTTTTCAAATATATATATATATTTATAACGCTGCTCCGTTTAACTGTGTAATAACTATTCGCGCGAATATAATCATGTCGAATATATAACTACGAATATGTATAAAAATGCAGACACTGAAGTTTTTATCTGTACATAATATTTCCGAGGCGAGTTGTAACGACGAAATAAAAAAGAAAGGAAGCTCCCCAATGCTCAGATCGGAACTATCCCCCCCTCTTCCCACCCCTCCCTTATCATATCGCACGCCAGTGTGGGAGTCGGTCGTTTGGATTCCGACCGGATTATTATAATTCGTCTTCGCTAACTCGACTAACTTATACTAACAGGCCTAACGCGCTTCTTTTTGTCTTCTAACGACGCGACGATACCCCTTGGCGGGTGACTCTATTGCCTTGCGACCCCCCCCCTCCCTCCCTCTCTCCCTCCCCCTTGTCTCTCCCGAGCGCGTGTTCGCCCTAAAGAGAGTGTCGTAAATTCCTTTCCTTGCAGGAATCGCGCGGACTATGCCGAGCTGCCCGGCCACTGCCAGGAGGAGCCCGAGGAGGGCGAGTGCAGCAGCGCATGAAAATTACGTGTGTGTCGCTTGTCCGCCACGCAAAAACAAAAAAAAAACAAAAAAAACCAAACCGCCGTTCCCGCCCCCGCCCCCGCCCCCGTCAGAACGCTTACGAGTCGTCGGAACGCCCGTGTCGCAACACGCACTCGCCACCTCTCCTCGTCGGCGCACGCGGTCCCGATCGTCGCGCAGGTTCGCGTCTCGCGCGACGAGGAGGACGCGAGACGACGACCGTCCGCGTCCTCCCGCTGCCCGATCGCGGGGAGATCGAGTAGTCATCAATCGAGATCGAATAAGACGACGATCGAACTTACCCCTACGAGTCCTCTCGGCGTCGGTCGCGGCGGCGGCGGCGGCGCTCCCCCTCACCGCCTTGTGGAGACGCACGATCGCCTGCAAGCTTCACCGTCTGCGATCCTCCCGCCTCGGGAGGACGAGAAAAAAAAACGCACGCCAAGAGCACGCTCCGTGTGTGTGTGTGTGTGTGTCGTCACGTCGCACCGAAAGAGTACCCCCCCCCCCCCGCTGCAGCCGCCCGTCCGCCCACCGTAGACCGCCGGGATCGACGCGTTGATTTCGCCGCGCGTTTCGAACATACGACATCTCGATAATCGCAATTCGATTGCACCGGCAGCGCGCGCGGCCGCCACCGGCGACGTCGATTCGTCCCCGCGCGGGAACGCCACGTGACCACCGTCCCGATCGCCGTCCGGCGACTGCGCGGACTGCGCAGAGCCGGCAGAGCATCGAGCCGTTGCATCAAGTCGCTCGTCTCGTCGATCGCTGCGGCAGGTAAGGCTCTCTCTCTCTCTGATCGTCCTCGCGACGCTCTCTCTCTCGCTGTTTTACGAGCGTAAACGTGGCGGTTTAATTAGGGCCAGGTAACTTTTGGACAAGTAACACGTCGCACTACATCGCTCGGTGTTGCTCCGCGATGTGCAACATAACCTATAAGAAATGTGATACTCGTGTGTGTGATATCTGAGAAAAAAATGATTTTTTTTATTTATATAGTCGCATAATGCGAACAAAGGGAAGACTACCTTACGATAAGTCTGCTTTTCAAAATTGCAATTCATGGGAGATGTCGTCTGTGTTGGAATCGTTTTAATTGGAATCGAATTGTACTTGTGTGGGTGGATTTGAAGATGCTCCTAGCTCAATCAACGGATTAATTCGACCCACAGAATTGCTTACTGCTAAATTTCTAGCTGTACAATTTGTTGTCCCGATCTAATCTTTGTTTTTTTTTATACATTGTATACAAATATCTAATCTTTGTTCTTATAATTTGTTTTAAATAAAAGGAAATTATAGGGATAATAATTCAAGTATTGTTTTGTAGTTTGATAAAATGATTGATAATTGAGTTTGATTGGAGTCGCCTTGTGTCCTGCAAATATGTCACGTGAATTTATTATTTTCTGAATGATATTAATAACCTTGTGAGCTACAGAGACTACCTCCTTATTTCAGAATGATCGTTTCGCTCGCACGAATTGGCAGCTCGGCGACTGGTCTGCGCAGAAATTTGAACTGCTGGACGGCGGCGATCACGAGGAAGCACAGACCGACGTACGAACGAACGTATCCCACGACGCTCGTCCTACCCGACGGGAGTAGTATAGAGATCGAGTATCACGAGCCGCGGAAGATAATAGTCCTGCCGCTGAATCTTGCGGAGCTCACGGCGGAGGAGCAGAGGAGGAGATTCGAGATGCGTAAGCCGAAAACGAAAGTAGTTATAACCGAGGAAATTGAGGACAGCTTCGACGAGAATAGGTATCTCAATTTCAACAAGTGATAAACGTCTCAGCGTTTCTGAAATTTGTATGAAATAGTATATATACATATGTACTATGTGGTATGTTATTTATGCGAAAAAATATATATTAATAACTCGTTGAAACATCTACTTAAGAGCCTTATTTTTTTTTGTCTAGTGTAGTGTTTAGGTAATTACTCATTTTTCTGAATGACGAAAATATTACTATGAACTTTTGTGATATCAAGTATCAAAGCTTATAAAGGTGTAGTAGTCGAAGATAAATTTAATTATCTGTACAATTATGAACAACACTACTGTATGACTTGTACTTATGATGAAATGCGAAATGCCACGCATATAAGCAATGTTTTGTAAATACAGGATAATTTCCAATCTTTACAATGGCACTAAAATATAATTTTAGTATAAAAACATATAATTCTTTACAACGCGAAGGCAATACTAATTCTCTACCGATTCCATCCGTCTCTCTCCTCTCTCTCTCTCTCTCTCTCTCGCATTTGATTCAAATTTAACAAAAGATACATTTTTTTAATAATATAAAAAGAATATTACGCGTGAAAAGAATATAACAATTCCTTGAGTTTTCTTGCAAACGACCTTGAACTTGTGTTGCAAAAGAAAGTAGACTATACGCCACGGAAATCGAATCGATTACAGGCTCCGACCGCTTTCGAATAATACTCCTTTCTCAATGGGCAATAATCGTTTGGGTAAACTCGTTTTCACATCCGGATGAGGGAGCCGCGTGGCCGGGGCGAGGTGAAATTTCCTCGTAACGCGTGACGGATGTGTTCGAATTCTAATAAGCGCCTTTCCTCGGAATAAAAACGGAATTTTCGTCGCCTTGATTCGTACGCGTTTTGCTTATATTTGTTGCAGTTGTCTCAATGTGGGGGGGGGTGGGGGGTGGGAGAAGGGGATTATTTTATAGTTACGCGCTAGTTAATCTTTTCACGGAGAATGTCTCTTTACGGCTTGTATCATTTGTATCACCAGCATGACATTCTACGGGGGACTCGGAGAGCGGTGGGAAACCGGACCAACACTGCGGCCCCAACACTCGCTTTGATTACTAGTCACTAAACGATGAAATATTTTTTGCGCAAGTAGCGCACGTGCTTTATCATTTGTACGGTATGTCGCGTGACAATTAGAGGGGATGGGGGGGGGGTCCTGGCCCCCGCGCCGCGACCGACGTCGACGTCGTTTGTTTTAGAACGATTTCCTCCGCGACGACTTTCTCCGATTCTCGCCTTCGCGCACCGGCACGCACTTTTCGTCGTCCTCACGCTAACCGTAAATAATTACCGGACGAAACGGCGTATGAACTTTCAACGACGTGCGAGGACTGAAAGTCGAGACTCGCGTCGTCGCGGTGAAGGCGCGGGCAAGCGAAAGTGACGGATTAGCACCGGATCATTTTGATCGATGATTAAAAACAGCTTTGCTCCGGGAAAGGCGGATGTAACAGATGCGCTGTAAATTTGTCACATTTGACCTCTTCGCTAATGGCGAACAATATCTACACGCGAAGCTGTAACATAGATAACATCCCGTCGCTGCATTTAATCGAACATTTAATTAAAGAAAGAGTAAAACGACTAAATACATATTATAAAAAAATACTGTATTTTTAATGTTAATTTTAACGATTTTTTTAAACTTTTGTAATATTTTACTTAAATTTATAACTTTAAGTTTACTAATATACATCTAAAGTCTAATTATCGGTTTTCTCATTCTTAATTATATTTATTTATTTTATTCTGATTATATTTTACTTTTCTATTGTTTTCAACTATTCTACATTATTCGACAATTCGTGCGCGCGTGTGTTATAATGTACAGTAAATGTGTGCGAATATTTGACCTTTTCGAATAGCGAACAATACCTACGCGAAGCTGTAACATAGATAACATCCCGTACAGATTTAATCGAACATTTAATTTAAAAAATAGTAAAACGACCAAAAACGTAAAAATACTGTATTTTCAATGTTAACTCTAACGATTTTTTTTTAATTTTTGTAATATTTATAACTTGAATTTATAACTCTAAGTTTGTTTATATATATATATATATATATATATATATATATATAAACTCTAATATTGCTTTTTCTTATTCTTAATTATATTCTTTTATTTTATTCTATTCTATTCTATTCTTTTATTTTATTTTATTCTGATTATATTTTACTTTTCTATTATTTTCAACTATTCTGGACTATTCGAAAATTCGTGCGCGCGTGTGTAAATGTATGCGAACATTTTACAATGTTTTAAGCTCGAGTCCGATCGAATTGCTAAGCCACAAATGATCACATATGGATCAGTTATTTCTGCAAGTGTAACGAAAATTAAGGAATTCTAAGATAGTGATGTCTAGTGATAGAGGGCTATCGATAAAGAATGATTCGGGAAACACGAAGTGGTTATTGATCTCTTGGGAAATGCAATTATTTCCAGCTACTTGCGGAAAATTATTTCTGGTAGATTATCACGTAACGCGTTTCATTCTCATATCGTGTTGTTTCGGTAAAGGAAGCGTGATCGTTAGATGTGTCGGCGCGTCGATTCGTGAGCATACTTATGGCGAGCACTTTCGGCCACGGTGAAATCATATTGTTGCGACAGAAGCGAGGAAATTTTTTATTAAGCAACAACAGGATACACAGGTCGTCCGTAAGGCCCTGGAACGCGCTCGGCATACGATGATATCGTCAATATCAGTTCGGGGTTCTATTACAACGGATGTTAATACGTTCGTAAATACTAATATGGGATCGATTATCATAACTGGCGACGTAGAAAGTCGAGCAAGTTGTTATCGTCCTCTACTGATAGTAATCCAGGTATTTTAAACTAGGAAAAACAACAAGGTGACTTCCATCAATTATTTTCATAATTAACTCATTATTTAACAGGAAATGGAGTATTCATTTATCAATAGCTGCAAATTTTTCCACGAATTCCGAAGCATTTATATATGACACATGAATTTCCTTATTGGAACAGTATCGAATTGTAATAGTAAAACAATACATTAATAATGAAAATTTGTGCTACGTTATGTATATCAATAGAAATTTAAAAAAATTTATAAGATTTTTATTTGATATTTTACTTGAAAAATTTAAAGAATGTCGCATTTTTATAATTTATTAAATACATTATATAAATGTCTATGGGAGAGACGTAAAATATTAAATATGCGATGAAGATGCGATGTGTGATTATTAAAAATTTAATTTAAGTAGCTCAAGGTAGAGCTACAAGAAAGACGAAGCGAAACTTTTATATTATTGTAGCATGCATATTATATTTGCTTTTTGCGTAATTACCTGCTGTTTATCTTGATACATCGAATGCCAGCGAAACAAAAAAAATCATACGAATCGAAGGACTCGGTGCAAAAATCGAGATCAGCTCCATTTTTTAAATCCATTTAAAAAAATGTTACAGTATTAACAAAATATTGTTTTGCTAAATATATTTTACGAGAATCATTGAAAGCTGCAGAGATCACTTTGTTTGGAGTTGTCTGTGTCTTGTACCAAAAAACGCCGAATGTTTGGTACGTTAAATCCAACGGAAAAGTCACTTTCGCCAAAAAATGGAATTGACCGGTTTTTGCGACGAGTCCTGCAATTGTTCCGTACACATCTAACGTTGCACATATCTTGTCCATCGAAATTTTTTTATGCGTTGTACATAAATGTACGTTTACATAAATAGGCGTTACAAGTTCTGCAGTCTTGATTAATCGATAAAATGTTACTACCGCCGCGTATCCTTATTTGTAAAATAAGGATACGCGGCGTGTAATTTTGCATACATGTAGTCTTATAATGTTGATTAACTAAACACTTATCATCAACTTTCCAATAATTAGAATTGAAAAGAAATTAAGATGAAGAAATGTATAAGTTACTAATCAACGCAGTCAGTTTCCTGATTATTTATTCATTTATTTATTTAGCATAGCTCGGCATCTATTTCCCAACCTGATTTCCGTCAATTAATTATCCCTATCAGAGTTATCAAATGCCGGCTATTCATTGCAATTCGAATCTTACATTGCAACTAGTCATAAATCACTAGTTATAAGTAAGATGTTTTCTAATATCTTAATTATGAAGAAATTATTTTTTTTTTAAAGTACACTGTTAGATCTGTAGTGTCAAATTTAATCCTATTTAAGTCGCTACTGCTCCTACTTAATATATAGTTATTTTTAACTAAAACATTTTTTAATAAAACGATGGAATTTAATTCAAATTTGGGTGAAATTGGAAACTGTTTTGAATTATTTAACTCCGTTGTTTCAGTTAAAAATATAACTAGTGGCGACTTGAATATGATTAAATTTGACATTAGATTTAACAGTGTATATCTTAATCTTAGGATTATATTTAACTTGAGCCTTTTAATGCTTCTTAAAGTTTTACATCTATTTGTGCCAATTTTTGCTGTATTACTACTTTTCCAAGCTATTTCCAAGTAAGTTACACAGTGTACTATTTTAGCATATCAATGTATGTCACATATCAGCTTTTAATTGCTATGCGTTATACTTTTGAGTTTGATAATATTCTGAATATCAAGGTGACTTGTAATAAAAACATACTTTTGGTTGTATTTAGCATCCTAATCGGAGGCTCGAATTTCAGTGCGCTCTTTTCTATTACTCCAAAGAGCGTCCTTTCTAGTCTCAAGTACGATTCCCCGGTGTCGTCTTCGTGAAGCGGTGGAGAAGTGGAGGAACCGACGGACCGGTCGTCGTCGCGCTTAAACACCGTTCGCTCGCTCGTGACAGGTAAAGAGACGGCGTAACGCCACGGTGGGAGTCAGTTCTGTTATAGTAGGCCACGAGGCAGCAGCAACTCTCGTGCTCCTGCAGGCCCCGCTCGCGTACACAGCACACGTCGGCTTCGCTCTCTCTCTCCTCGTTTCGGCGCGCGCGCGGCGAGCGAGTATCGTTCGTAACGTGTAAAAAAAGAAAACCACGTACGCGCGAACGGCACGCCGCGTTTCGAGAGATCAAATTTCGGGACGGATGTTATCCTGTTGGTGAACTTGTTGAAGAAAAATAAATAAATAAAGAACCGAGAGGGACAGCTCGATCAGAGAAGGAATCACGTGCGAAAGCGATCGAAGCGAATCCGAATGTCGGATCGTCGCGACTTTCGTTGCGCTTCGTTTTCGGCATCAATCAACGCCTGAACGAGAACGTGAAATCCTGCTGGCGGTTCCTCGCGCACCCGTTCTCGCCGTTTCGTCGCGGATATGTCGGAACGTCAGTAATAACGGCGAGCACTTGCGCAAGAGAGGCGAATTCGGTGCCCGATTTCTTTCACGGCGGAGAAAGCAGACGGCTGATCGAGTCGACAAGTATAAACCGCGCGATGCAGCGCCAGAGTTTCCTGTCTCTATCTCAATCCGCTCCGGCCACAAAATAAACCAACCACCCATGATGAAGAAATCGCGCTCGGCGCGTTTTACGTTTTGATTTTCTTACACTGATTTTTCCTGCATTGATAATTTTTTTACGTGACCGCGCGCGACCTAGAACCATCGGTCTAAGAGCTATCACTTCGAACGAATTTCCTGCATGTCAATGGCGAATTCCTTTATAATGTCACGGTACTAGAAAGGGCGAATACACGCGATCGGCCTTGCGGGAGAAGTAATCCGGATCGAAGTAAACGATTCGTCGAGCCATATTTTTCTCTTTAATATACAGACAGAAACACTTGTCTTGCCGGCTCTATCGCAAGGTATACAAACAGCAAGATGCAAGCCTGACGTTTTCGTGTTTTTCCGATGCGATTCACCGTGAAACGATGGGTTTCTAACCATCCACAATGATGGTGGACTTTTAAAAGAGGTTTCCGGGATTGTCCAGAGACGTGAGATGATTGGCAAACTCCTTCTGGCTCTTTGGATATTACGATGGACCAGTTTTATCGGTAAGCAATATTTTAACAATAACTAGTATAGATAAATAACATGATAACATTGAAATTACTTTTAATGCTATTAAAACGTTAAAATTTACAATTTAATTAAATTTAAAAAGATGTTAAAGTCGCAGTTGAATTAAATTAAAAAATAAGTCACGATACGATAAACAAAAACAAATAACAGATGAATTTTAATTAAATGGATTTACGAAATATCGCATTTAAAAATATTTTTGCCGATATTTTTTTTTAACGGTCAATCTACATAATGTCTTTTAAATGTTTTTACGACACCTACATCTACATGACCTGTCTTTTAAATATGCACATATACGTTCGCGACCCGAATTTACTTCTTGGAAATTAGAAATGCCGATGTTAATTCTTAAACATGTGTGTCACGAAAGTGTTACCGAACAGACTTCATTAAAAGTCCTATTCAATAAACGAGATTTAATGAATCGATTGAATCAATGTCTGACGCGATGGCCGATGTCTGCCGTAGCGATAAAATTAATTAATTTGCTAAATAGACGCGCTATTTATTTTACTATTCTTTCTTTTTCCTCTCTTCCTTAATCTTCTTGTCATTAATTACGAAGGATAATTAAGCTTATATAACATAATTGTTTTAATTTGTTAGAAAGACAGTTAAATAGTCGGACTACTTCGCACCATTGTTTCTCCGATAATGCATTCGTGGCATATTGTATCTATCTTGTTGCAACAAATCAGTTAACGCGTGGGGCATGATTATTTAATCGGTACGTTGAGGTCAGCGCGGCGACGTGTTTTTTAAGCGTGTATTTTCTAGACCTCAGGTCCGACCATCGTCGTCCGTTTTCACTTAGGCACTTTGCCCAGGAAACGAAACGCACTCAAATGTATTTGCGTAAGAATTTGCATCCCAATAGGCAGTTTCGAATTTATGCCAACGGGAATATATTTCGTAATATTTAACTGGCCAATTTTCAATGTACGTTTCCGTATCGTTTCCGCAGTCGCAGTTAACAACGATGTGCGCATACAATTAGAAATATTACCGCGCAATATTACGCCCTTGTCTTAATTTCCTTTGTAATTTTACGAACAATTTTGCTGTCGCAACTAGAGAAACGTTGCCCTTGAACGCATCGAGATGCTCACCCAGACAGAAAATTAAAAAAGGATTCGTATATTCAGTTGTATATCATCAATTCTGAGTTTCAGATGCAAAAAGAAATCTTTTTTTTTAGGACTTCTAGAAAAAGAATTCTTTTTGCATCTGAAAATTAATTCAGAATTGACATTCGATTGAATTTTTTTTGAACTCTCTGTGCTATCTGGACGCGAAAAAAGAAAAGAGCTTTCCTATCTTATACGAAGATGAGGAAGAAAGAAAATATTAAATACAAGAAAGACGAAAGTCACAGGAAAAATGCTATAACATGTTTCTCTTAAAGAGACATTAAAGAAATGATGAATACAAGAAAGAGAGACGAAAGTCCGAAAAAGGTGAGCGCAAAAACATGTTGCAACATGCTTCTCTTGGAGAGATATTAAAGACTTATTGAATACAAGAAGACGAAGACACCCAAAAAAGGTGAGCGTAATGAATGTTAAAACGTGCTTCTCTTAAAGAGACTCTTCTTCGCGTTGCATTTACCGTGTAAAATTATCTGTGCTCTTTAGGGTTAACGAAAAAATTGACGGAAGAGAGAGAGAGAGAGAGAGAGAGAGAGAGAGAGAGATTTCAGATGCATATAATGACATAGGTGCAAGTTTCACGGACGCGTCGCCGCAAGAAACGTTATACGGAAAGGTTACACCGACAGCAGTGAAAGCGACGTTTCGCGCACTAATATTATATGCATGCACGTGAGAGATGTCAGAGATTAATGCAACGATCTCGGATATAGTCTCGCGCAATGACGCGACATCCGCACGGACGCGCGACCAAATTTCCCTCTCCGCTCCGCGGCGGGATTGCGTTCTTCCAATTTATTCGGAAATCGACCTGAAATATCTCACGGAGGCCGATTTACCGCAAGCTGATTATCAGTATGTGATGATAAATACTACGAGGAGCGTTCAAATTTAAATATTTATTTAAATATTTATTTATAAATAAATTTATTTATAATTTAATAATTATACACGTATACAATAAATAAAGAAAACATTTTCAATACTTAAATCTTCAATTATTTTTCACAACCATCAGTTTCCGAGTGGATTAGCCTACAGCCAAGAGACTTTTTTTCTCGAGAAAACAAGAGCTACCTACCGGAACGATAGCGCTAGTGTATTGAGAACCAAAGACTATACTGAAAAATAGTATGACTTACATAATTGAAATGTTTCTTTTATTTTTTGTATGATTATGTATGATCGGTCCTCTTGACTGAGGATCTGACTCTCGCGTCGGGTTGCTGTAGCCACTACAGATTATTCCAGCGAGATCTGTCTTTCGCCACACGATTTGAAAGAACGATTTTGTTGAAAGGTTTAAAAATTTTAAAAATTTTGTTAAATACAGATCTGAAAATAATTTTTGTTCAATCATCAAAATAATTTGTTGAAAAGTTAAAAATTATAAACATTGCTATAAAACGTTTTGATATTCTAGCAATCATTGTGACTTTCCAACAAAATTATTTTGATTATTGAACAAAAATTATTTTCAGATCTGGATCCAGCAAAATTGTTTTTTCCGTGCATGTGAATCGCGACTTGCAGCTTATTGGGAAGAATGATTGTGTCGAACAATCGCTCTTCTCCTAATTGCGTGAGAGGTTTCTTGGCGAATGTCTCTTTCGGTGGCTTGTCGTTGCCTTCCAAGAGATGATGATCAACTAAAAATCTATTTGTTCTATGGACTTTCTGTGGAACCCGGATCTTTGGTAGAGAAAGCAGACGCTCTTACGTCGCGATCACTACAACTTCGATATACATAATTATGTATATTGAATTGTAATTTAAATTTAAATGCTCTTACTATGCCATTCGGAATTCGATAGTTCCGAATGATCGATATCCGATGATCATTATGTATACCAGAATTATTCTGAAAAGCCGTAAAAAATTAATTAATTTTGCGTACGAAATATGCCATAATTAATTAACAAACATAACATGCAATTTTGGTGAGACGTAACAAAGAATTGCGTTTGAGAAATTTCCAGATATTTCCTCTGAGTGAAAAAAAATTCGGATTTCTACAGCTCTTTCATCGTGAAAGTGCATCTAATCTTTCCATCGGGCGGCGTGAACTGAAAATTCAAGTACCGTAATTCTTAGTTACGACTCTCAAATGAATTGTCCGTTTCTGACTGAGGAAACAACAGAAATCCAAGCGCGAGGTATTTCACGAGATGTTTCGTGAAAGCACTTCGCTCGCACGGCCGTGCCCGTGAAACTGCGCGGCCGATTACACTTTCATCGGTTATATATAACCCGGCGAAATAATTTTTTAATAAAAAAAATAATAATCGCGCGGCCATTTGCGTACGCGCAAAAGCGCAATAAAGATAGCGCGAAAAGAGCAGGAAGTGTATATACGTGTCTTTAACGGCCTCCCCGAGAGAGCTCGCGGCGACGCGAAGAAAGCCGGGGCCTCGTTATAGTCCTCGCAACACGTGACATATCAATTATATTAAAAAGATCGAAATTACTGCAAAACATGAGTTTTAATTAACAACACTCTCTCTTCACTGTTAATTATTCCCCCGAGATTCATTTCTCCTCCGTGTGATTTATTCAAAAATATTCAAGTGCCATTACTTAAATCACTGAGCTTCGCCGGATTTTACGTTTCCGGAAAAAATAAATATTTGTTTTTATTCTTTTGCATATTGACTCATTGAACATAGCCGGACTTTGTTGATTCACGAACGATATTTGAAGATCGAATTCCTCTATGAATCATCAACACTCGAGTCCATTTCGCGAGTCATCGCGGATTTAACCTTTTTTTTTTTTTACGGAGTGCATAGCTCGGAATCACCTTTCTCCAAGCAATTAATTTCTCTCTGTAAGACACGAAGAGAGGAACATAGAGACGAGCGGCACGCACGAGAGATCGTATCTCATCGAGTCGAAGAGCATCGTTTATTTTCAATTAGGTCGAGTCACTTCTCGATAGATGATCGCCAATCAGTACGCCGGTTAAAGATAATATCTTCAAGCGAAAAATACCTCTGTACGCGTTCAGTCACGTCGACCGGTATTATTAGTATCATTTGGTATATAAATACCGCTATATTAATACCCGATACGTTAATGTGGGATACTAAATGGCGCGATAAGCGTGACTTTATTTATTTTTTTTTTTTTTTTAGCTCGGCACTGATATTATAATCAATTATGTGCAGGTATTAGCCTCGGGGCAAATAGAAGTACGAATCCCCCATTAACGGCGGACTCGCATACCGTCGCGTACAAGCGACGGATCAAAAATAAAGAAACTATCCGACGGAATCGAAAGAGAAAGTTCTTCCCAAAAGCATAGGCTCTTCGTAACTGGGCCATAACGGGTCATTGTATTCACAGTGAATAAGTAAATCGAAGCGGCTTTCGAGAGGTGGACGGAACAAAGGACTGGCTGTCACAGCCTTTACTATCGCGGATTTTGCGAACTTAAACGCCTCCCGCTCTCTCAAATGGCAACACAACTTTTTTGTAGGACTTTTTTTTTGGCAAAACGACGGAGTTATTAAACGCATTCGTGTTACGCGCAACATCGAGATTAACGGTCGCACGTGTCTTCTTTTTGCTCGCTCTTGACGATTTTCAGCCAATCTCCGTCAAATTTGGGTCATCGTTCCACTTTAAATCCACCCACGAGGTCTTGCGGAACGGTCGAAGTGGATGAAGAGCCGAGCGAAGCGGCCAGGTGAACGAGAGGCGCGTGTACGCACGTTCGAATCGATTTCGCAACGGCGAATTGGCCGATCGCGTCGTTGTCTAAAAAAAAACAGCAAGTATTATCTTCGAGAGTCGTCATCGATGGCCATTAACCCTTCGAT